ATAATATGTAAAAATTACATACAAGTAATACATGTGCAGTCATCTTTAAAAATAAAAGTAAAAATAAAAGTTAGAATTCTAAAAAAAAAAAAATTGAATTCCCAAAAAAAATGCAGCAGGCTTCTTGGAGAAGCTTTGAGAAAGTAAACGGAAAGATAACGGAGGAAGGGACGGAAGTGACGGACGGTAACAGCCCAACGAACGGAAGTTACAAAAAAAGGCTATTTTCTTCCATTCTTATAGGTTAGGGACTAAAACCGTTATATTATAAGGTAAGGGGCCAAAACCGTCCAACTTATCAAGGTAAGGGCTATTTTTAGGCTTTTGCCTCAATTTAAAAAGCTTATTTGTCCTTTTCCAATTTCTGACAAATCCTTAAATGTAAAAAGGACCCATTAAAATGAAAGATAAAAGAAGGCATGAAAAAAAAAGACCTACATGTATAATAATAATTTTATGATAAATTTAATAAAAATAAAACTTATAATATTTTACATATTTAATAATTATAATTATAATTTTTAATATTTTTTATACCAAAAAAGTGTTAATTTTTCTTTCTCTCGTACCAATATGCAAAATTGAGTATTTGACCCGTCCCAATTTTCCTCTAAAATAAAGGCTAGAAGGGCCCATTAAAATAAAAGGAAAAAAATGGTGAACAACGTCAACTAACATGCCAAATTGATCAATCCCAATCTCTGTTTTATATGGTAAGAAAGGTTTTTTTAGCTTGTATTTTTAGAGATTTAAAAAATTAAAAATAATATTTAATTTATTAATTATTTAATTAAATTTATTTAAATAATAATATTATAAAAATTAATATTAAAAATTTTTTACATAAATTTATTATAAAAAATATTTTTATACTCTAAATGCACATTTAAAAATAAAACTTAAAAGGAAGGGAAAAAAAAACTATAATGAGGTCAACTTCACCATATTGACACCAAATTGGGAAATTGACCCGTCCCACAGTTTGCACCAATGATAAAAGGGCCCGTGAATTTGACCGAGATATTAATATCAAGTTGCGTGATTGACCCGTTCCACATTTTGTTGGACGGTGTAGTAAAATAAAAAAAAGTGATATTATAGAGATAATTTTTTTATATTATTTTTTATATAATTTTTATATATTATTAGAAGTTAAAGTAGTTATATTATCAATGAATTTATTGATCTGAGTGGAAGGAGTTTAATTCTCCTTAAATAAAATTTTAAGTTCGAATCTTGTGAATAGAAAAATAACCGTTAGTAAAATTCCTTTCAAATGGAGTTTGATGCGACTCGATTTCGAATTAGTTGAGATTTAATGTGGTTATTAGATACTAGAAGGTTAGTACAAAAAAAGTAATTATATTTAATATTATGAATTTTACATGAATAAAAATAATTAATTATTTAAATAATACATTAAGTTATATTAAAAAATAATATAAAAAATTA